GCCACGGTGGTCTAGCGGTTAGGACGCTGGCCTTGTAATCCTGGGGTCTCGGGGTCGCATTTATAACTTGTGTTGGGCAAGGCCGTGGTCTAGGCATCACGGAGTTTTCCTCCGTGGCCTCCCAACAATTACTCCATTCACACACAGAAGAAGGCAGTGGCAAACCACTTCTGGATCATCTGCCAAGAACGTATATGAACAGGTCCCAGTCCGAGAAAAGGATGGAAGGATCCTGTTCATATGGACCTGTCGTCAGACAGAACACTAAATAATAACATGGTACACGGGCCTTGAAAATGTTACAGTCGCTTAGATCGCCAATAAATTATTTACATTTTAAGGAACCTTAAGGTTCAGTCTTCGGAAGAGTCAATTCTGAACACTTCATCCAGCCCAAACCGTAGCACCCCATTTCTTAAGGGCCAATTTCATATTGCCACGCCATCTACATCTACATTCCGACGTACTGTCTTCCGTTCACGTTTACAAACCACGATCATTTTCACAGTCGTGATGCATGTCACACTAATTTCAATATCCCGGATTTAATCATTCTAATAGTATTCTGTTAACAGTGAAAATTAGAACGTAGACTGAGTAATGACACAGGTAATACAACACAATGAGGAAGTTTATAATTTATATCGGTAATCAAATTAAAGATAATCAGGATATGTAGTGCCCATTGGAGAGAAGTGAAATGCATACACAATTTTACTTGAGAAATTTGAATGGAAGATAATAGTAAGATGGATCATGAGAATGTAAAGCGTGAGGCTGTGGACTGGATTCGTGTGACTTACGATAGGATCCATTGGCAGGAACTTCTGACCACAAGAGCCATTTACCTCTGCACATTACAACCAGAAGAATTAGAACAGTTACAATACCTCGAGCGAAAGCAGAAATGCGGTTTGACTGACGTCGTACATGTTTCTAGTTATAGTGAGCCTAGTTTAGTCGTCTCAGGGGCAGAGCTGCTCTCTCCTTTGCATAGACACGTTAATAACAAAAAATTTTGACAAATAAAAATGTTTCAATTCCCATTTGCCTGTTTCATCTCGTATTTAATCTTCGTAATTCCTTTCGACGTGACCCCCTTATGGTATGGCCACTTTACGTTTGGCCTTCAGCCAGTACATAAGTGCGTTATAGCTGATGATTGATATAGAAAATAGCTACTGAGATCAACTTCGTATTCTTTGCATCCGGCGATCGAATCCGTGCCCGGAGACCGGCTAGCCTGACGAGCTTTTATCGTGACTTCCCTCCAGGCAAACGCTGGCATAGTACCTTAAATCAGGCCACGTCCGATTCCAATTCATTATCACCCAAGCCTTCGACGCCATATAGACATAGTCTGAGCGTCGTTAAATTAGAGCCTGATATAGAAATGCGTCTAAGAGGGGAGTGGGGAGGGGGGCAGCTACTCGCCCGCCGTTATGAGACCCTCTCGTGTGACGTGAATCAGTTCCTGGAACACTGACGAAATGATTTTCACGAGGTCCGAACCACGCCACGTTATGTGGCCTACCCCTCGCCCCGTGACGTAAGTATCTTGGCAGTCCAACTGCAACAAGGAGTCTGCGTTAACTGGAAACTATTTTGGGGTTTTGGTTTCTTGCAGTAACAAGAAATAAATATGGCTGTCACTAATGGTATAAGTGTATTTATTTTCACAGTTCTAAGAATGCGTTGGAAGTTGTTTTTTAAAGAGCATACGCCACTTTATGAAAAACATCACAACAACCGACGGTGTTATCGTTATGTTCTTCTGATGAAGAGTGAGCAGATCGTTAGCGAAACGTTTTAAATTACAAAGGGCAAAGTTTGGTTCATATGCAAATCGGCTTTTATACAAATACAACAATGCCAATAAACAGACGCAACAATGTAAACACAACAATGCTAAACGCAACAATGTAAATAATAATACAACAATGCATGAATACAACAATGTCATTAAACAGTTCAACAATGCCAACACATCACAATATAATGAACGAATTAAATGCACAACAAATTACAGAATTCGTAGAAAGTTATAGATGTGACTGGAAAAATGGTGTTCAAGGAATGCGATATTTAAGAATTCCTTTACAAATTCTTCGTTGCCAACTAAAATGGCAAATGTCATTTTTCATGTCATGATGACATGAAAAATGATGTAAATCGAATATTTCGATAAAGAACATCATTTAATATTTTAAATGTTAATTATTGTAATATTTTAATATTTAATAAGAATTATTGTGATTAGACGGACAAGAGAAGTGAAATATCATGTTATTCTGACTCAAATTCCATAACACATAAGTTGTTCTTTTCCTGATATGAACAATATTGTCATCCCATCAGTGACTCTTTCTCTGAACTGTGACGTGATACAAGATTTGCAACGAACATGCCACAAATTAATCATATTAGCTTAACCTTATTGAGTACGTTATTAATCAATATTAAGTGCCTCAAACTTTGTAAAACTGCGTTTAGCCTCTTGATCCCGTGTTGTCAACAGAGCAATCTGCGTAGGTTCATTTGCTCATGGCCCCGCAAACCCCTACGGATGGTCCTGACATGTACCTCGTATGTCACTCATTTTAGCCTTCGATTTAGCAACATCAAATGTTTCGCTTATAAACTGCGTTAAAATCAATAGCACATTTTGACATGGATCGTCAGGTGAAGCTTCTGCCCCATGTATTTGGAACAGGCGGTTACAAACGTTTCGGTGGAACATACAGCTTCCATCTTCACTAACGTCTGTAATACCGCACGGCGTCACGAGCCAGAAAACCACAATTGACATTTTCGCAGTCTTGAGAACCTGAAAGCTCATCAAATATGCTCCTTCATATTAAAGCTTATGGCCCCTTACTGTTTGTTATGCAAAACATCCGCGAGCCCGAGCTACATCACAATAAGAGATGGAAGGAATAAGGAATTAGCAAATATGTTCCATTTTTTACGTACGATGAATTTATCCCTCGTTTTAGACATTGGAATGTAGAGCGGAGGGTTGTTCTAATGAATTGCCATGCTCCAGAAGCCCCCCAGAACTGGCCAGACGAGTAACGTTGTGATTTGTCGTGTTTTTACAGTGAGCTGAGGGAACCGGCGTAGTTCTTCCTGCATTGGAGCGTCAGAACCCTGAGCGACACAGTTCGTCCCCTGCCTGGCATGGCGCAATGTTCACTATATGTCCAGACTGCCTTCACGTGTTCCCCAACCCCAACAGCAGCAACAACCATCAGCAGCAGCAGCAGCAGTTCACGACACCGATCCTCTCACCGTCTTCGGCGCCCACCGTTCCGTTCACGCCGCCATGTTGCGAATCGAACCGACAACAACAACAACAGCAGCAGCAGCCACTCCTGATTTCTCTTCAGTTACCACCCTGGACAAGCGCAGTGACGACGTATACAGTGTCGCTATCTACGACAACCGACTGTCAGCAACAGTTGAGTACGAGTCAGCGCGTACGTGCTGGCATGGCAGGTGGTGGAATCGTCCAGAACTCGAACACTGTCACCCAGAATGTGTCTGTGGTCCTGCAACAGACCACCCAGGACGAACAACTCGTTCTTCCTCCTTGGTCTCCACAACCGTCGCCATCAACACCTGTCTCGTTTGTCCTACCATCAGCACCGAATGTTTTCACAACAACAACAACAGAAAGTTCCACGCTGTTACCTTTCCAATGGACAATGTCCACAGCCGCGGTTCCGTCAACGGTAACGACAAGCAGTATTCACAGCCCAAGAGAGTGGACCCTCCCTTCACCGACCGCAGCGCCTTGGGTCTTTGGCCTTCAGATGCCGCAGACACAGCAAATTCCACAAGCCCCCCAGTCAGATACGGACTTGGTTCGACTTGCGGCGACTGTCAGGGCTCTCCGGACGTCAGGGTGGTACTACGAAGGTCTCTCGTGGCAGGAATCAGCTGAAGCCCTGCAGTCGACTTCACCAGGGACATTTCTTGTAAGGGATTCATCCAACCCCAGGTTCCTCTTCTCGCTTAGCGTCCAAACGGAGAGGGGTCCTACTAATGTACGGCTTCATTACGTTTGCGGTAAATTCCGGTTGGATGCAGAACCAAGGTTGGCACCACTGATGCCTTTATTCGAATGTGTCGTTAGTCTTACGGAGTATTATATAGAAACGACGAAAGACAGAGTACGAGCTACCGGTGGCGAAGAGGAGAACTACAGAAAAGGGAATAAGGGAAATCAGCACAGACACAAAGAACAAGTGTGGGTGGATGCAAGAGGACACATGTTCTCTCACATCCTTCTCGCGACGCCACTGTACAAGAAGCAGCAGCATCCTTCTCTGCAGCATCTTGCGAGGTTGTCCATCAACAGAAGTCTGAAAGCTGTAGGAGGACCACCGATGTTCTCATCCAGGGACTCGCGTTCTGCCGCCTTCGCAATATCCCAACTACCGTTACCAACTCTACTTAAGGATTATCTGCAAGAGTATCCGTACACCCACTAAGCTTCAGCGATATCTCGATGACAATCAAGTGACTAATAATATAAGGGTATGAATGTCGAAATGAATACATGTAACAAATAGGAACAGTGAGAATTTGCAGAGCTGCATTGTGAAATAAGGGCCGTGTGGTGCAGACATTTCCGTCGAGAATAGGAGAAACACAAGTTGCAAGTTGAATTCGGTTTTCTTTCCTCTTGTGGCCCCGAAATTGGGCGTAGCAGTCTCTTTCGTGGTCATCCAGGTTTTCGTCTTCCGACGGGTCGATGCGTGAAGGAGTTGTTTTAGGTGTCTAATTAATGTCTTTCATCCTTCTGACATGATATAATTTTTCGGTTAAGGTCCGTGCCCGAGATCTTCCAAAATATCTTCATTTCTTCTATGGTCTGATAAACTCATCCTGTTTAGCGTTACACGAATTTAATCTCTTCCTGTATCACTTTGTTTCGATTTACCAGATTTATCCACAGCCACTTAAGAATTTATGTCTGGGCTAAAACAGTACAGGTGGTATTTCAACCGAGATTGTTCTCGAACCAAATTTGGTTTCATGTTATCGACCAGAACCCTCAAAATTTACAAAAATTGACTCACTTTATGATATAAAATTTTAGACGAAGTGAAAAAGTACGAAACATGATAAAGTGAGATGGTAAAGTTGCGTCATATTGTGATATATTAAAAATATATATTGTTTAAATCTTGTCCGTCTAATCACAATAAAAATTCTTATTAAATATTAAAATATTACAATAATTAACATTTAAAATATTTAAATATTAAATGATGTTCTTTATCGAAATATGATGGTCTAATGTAAATCGAATATTTCGATAAAGAACATCATTTAATATTTAAATATTTTAAATGTTAATTATTGTAATATTTTAATATTTAATAAGAATTTTTATTGTGATTAGACGGACAAGATTTAAACAATATATATTTTTAATATATCACAATATGACGCAACTTTACCATCTCACTTTATCATGTTTCGTACTTTTTCACTTCGTCTAAAATTTTATATCTCAAGTATCTGAAGATACGTGTTGTCCCACGTAACTCGGAACCCACATATGCGGCCTCATTTGCCGGCAGTTCGGTCGCTGCTGCTGCGGTACGACGTTAAGTGGGACACCTACTTTTTTTTACAGTTTTACGTATAGTTGGAATCTTGCCTCTGAATGCCATTACCAGTACGTAGATTGAGTGAAGATATTTTCATTCCAAAACTGTTTTGTACTGTTGTGTAAAGGACATAATGCCCTCTGTAAATCATCTGAGTCTGATAAAAGTACCTGGTTATCTGCTTACAATAATATAGGAATTACTGTGACATCGTTTCTTTTAATTCCATTTGAGTAATTTGCTTTCAGTAAATAATCATTATATATATATATATATATGTTAAATGATGGTGACAGTCGTTCTCCATTTTTTTGCATATAAGGCAGATGTTTATAAATCCATATTTATTTTCAATTTATGGTTCTGTATGTATTTTAGATGTTAATAGAAAGTTTTTTGGGGGGGGAATTGTAGCGCATTACTGTTAATTTAGTGTGTGCGTGCATGTATGTATGTGTACAAGGCAAATATTATTTATTTCCCATTTTATCATGCGGACAAATGAAATGATGAAACAGGTTGTTTGTAATTTATGTCGAAACAACATCTGGAGCGAAAGACTATAAAATATCTGCCATTGTAAATGTTACCGTATTTTCCTGTTCGAAGCATTCTGTTACTAACTAACACAGTCGTCTGATCAGTAATGATTCAATCGGTCAAAACTAACGTACAAAGCCAAATATACAGGGTGTCCCAAAAACTTTTATACACACTTTCAGTAAATGAAATAAAGGCATCAACATTGGCACTTCGTGAATTAGGGAATCTAATTTACGTGTTCAAAGTGACCAACGTTAGTTGACAGCGGTGAGGAAAAGACTGATGGGCGATCACGTATTATAATACGTTCATCTTTTTTGGGACACCCCGTATATATTACTGAAAGAAGACACTGTATACTTTATTCTAATTTTTCACAAACAACTATTAGCATATACAGGGTGGGTAGGAATTAAGGCGTTAAATAATTGCTTTGTATTTGAAATAGAGGTTATAACCATTTGTCAATGCCTACTTACTTCCCAGCCACCCTGTAGAATACGACATGGCAATCAGTCAAGAGGGAGGAAGTTCACTGGAATTTTTTGTTCAGAGTTTGCGTGTAAAAATGGATTTTTGTTAGTCTCGTTCCGTGACGTCGTTCATTAAGAAAATTGAAGGGCGAATATTTGCGAGTATTTTGTGCTTTAATTAGGATATTTATGGAACAGCGTGGAGTTCGGCACCACGACCACTCCTTGTCTCTTTTCTACGGACTGCTTCCAAGGGAGGTCACTGTACTATCCAACATACACCAGGGAATGGTGAAAATATTGATTTCGTTTTCCATCCTCTTTCTGCAGAGAGAAAGACAGAAAAGTGCACAGAAGGACAGTCGACAGCTTCAGTTCCTTGAATTATATTACAGCTGCTTTTGTAAATATTAACACACCAAATAAGGACTGAGAAACCTGACTAAACATTATGCATCAGTGATATGATCAATATGGACTGGAGCCTACCAGAGGAAAATTATCTCGCGTTACTTATTTAAACGTCAAAGAACGACACTTACTTAAGTGTGTATCAAGTGTCTTCAACCTTGAAATATAAATAACGCAAAGATTGACGCACATAGAATTGGAGGCCTTCTGTATGATGTGCGCAAGCGCATATTGCACTTACTAACTGAGAGTTTCATTCGAAAGGTTCGTGAAAGATAAATATTTATTTATATATTTGTGGAAGGTGATATAAAGAGAAACAATGTCAAAGTACTTAAACTTTTAAAAAAACAATTTTTAATATTTTTTACAAACGTTTCCTTGGAAATTGTGCTGTAAACTTCGCAGTGTTTGCTGGTATGAGAATGCAATGCTTCAAAATTCAGTTCACGTGAGATAAAAGGAAATAAAAAAACTTAAGTGCTTTTCGTTCACTATTTTAACAGTATCATTAACTTCAGTATGTCGAGTATCGTCAAATTACCAGCACTAATTTTTAATTTATATTATTTCATGGAATTATGGGTACAGACACGTTCTTATTTATTTTCTATGCAGTCGAATCTGCAGCAACCGATTTTTAACTCAAAAAAAATAAACTTTACCCGCAGATCGGGCATTACCGGGTGGGGGAAAAGCAGCCTATACTATGCCAGGTGACAATTTCTCAAATTTAGAAACTTCTTCTGATTCCCTCTAGCTCTGCACTTCTTTGTCTAACACGACAGCATCGGATTGCGATTCCTGGAAAAACGTGAAGGTAGTAGCACGTGGTGGGTGGGCACCATGCACCCCTCCCATAAAACTAGGTCATGCAAAATTGGCACGAATCGCGAGTAACTCGTCGAGCAGACGAAACGAAAATCGATTGTTACCTTAAAAGACCAGTGTAGGATCTCTGTTTTGTCCCGCACTAAACGGCGATCAGGACTGGATTAAAGCAGTGTTTTTCTGTACGGGGAGGGGCGGGGCACTGTCGTATCGATTCTAGGGGTAACTTTCTCGAACCGAAATATTATTTCCGATATTCATTCTTCACGACTGGGCGCATCCAGTCTCGTATCCCGTGATCCTGAATCCAATCACACGATATAGTTCCAAATAAGTATTCACATTGTGCTTAACAATTTTTATGTCCAGTTCTTTCCTTTAGAGGTGAATCACGTAATTTCATTTAAAATTTTTGCAAGAACGTTTATCATCAAAGTAATTTCCTATTTTAAAATTATTTCATGTGATGGAGCCAAGGACGCAAGCTGTAGCAAGCTAAGTATACTTACGAGGCTTTTGAAAAACACTTTATTTCCACCATTCGAGGAATTGAAATGCCGTTCTAGAGGTTCGATTTCCTTTTCCAAGAAATTACGCTGAATAAGACAAGGAATAAATAACTTTGTTACGTATATAAAGAATAGAAGGCGAATCCCTGTATGGTTTCTTCATAACGTAGCAAGTCACGTTATTGTGACGAACAGAACGACTCTGTCCCATCTGCAAGTGCCTTATCGGCCAGCAATTTCCGACTTGTTCGAGCGAACACCATTATAACATATTACACTACGTATTTGTGTCGTCATTCACTGTTAATATTAATATAAACCGCACACGAATTACAATACAGGATTTTTTTAAATTTAAATCGCAAACCTAAATACAACCATATTTATACCAATCCATGACATAAATATAACACATTTTAATTCTGTCTAGAACGTACTTTACATAAAATGCAAACTACCCTTCTCGAAGACGCAGGCATTTCATGAGTCCCAAAATTTTGTTACCAGGCGGTTAACTGTCATGTTCGGTTCTTAATCGCGATACGAACTGCTTTACAGACAGCAGCAATCGATTTCTTTGCCAAGTAATGTACTGCACGTGAGTGAATTCACTATAAATCTAAGAAAATTCCCATATTTAATGTCATTTCAGTCGCTGAATATTAGGTTGTTAAAGTGATGAAGGGATGTGGAAGGAAGAGTTGAGGAATATAAATGTACGAAAGGGTCAAAGGATTAAAATACTAAATAAATCGTTTCCCCCTTGAGTTTCAACGGGCCCTTCCACTAGTTACTAATAAATGCGACCATCTGTAAATTCTTAATTTTACATACATGTAAGGATCTGTTGCTGGGTACAAGAGATCTGGTCTTAACGAGTGTGTTCTCGTCGTAATAGGAATGAATTCTTCGTAACGTTGTTTATGCCCTTTGGTAAACTTGTAAAATACGGTCAGTCGGTGCTTACCATAAGTTCTATCAAAAGATTCTCAACCCGATGTTGTTTCAGAGTATCTATAACCCCCTAACTGTCCATCCCTACTTTTTTTTTTAAAGACAACTTTCTTTGCGAAAGTTTGGTTCGTAATTATATCACTGCAAAAGCATTCTCTGCCCAATAACGATGCGAATCAAAATTTCTAGAAATTTAAAGGTGTGGACTCTGTACAATTTGAACAGAACTTTATGTTTATATGAGTGGCTGTACCTTAGAGCGCAGGTTCTGTATGCTTTTGTCTTCACTGTTATGATAAAACATGGGGTATGCATGTGAATACAATGTTGTGTGTGGATAAACAGTGTATTAATGTCTTTCAGTTTGTATTTGAAAGAAAATATAAATTATTGAAGTATTTATTAAATAATTCTGTTTGTTTTTATTTTATTTTTTCATCATTAGGCCCCCATGGAAAGCACCCACTCTCCCGTGTGTAATGGTAATAATAATTCCAGGAAGCAACTGTCCTCAGGCAATATCTGCAATTTGTATACATAAAAGTACGTAACTTTGTAACTTCCCAGTTTTATCCCGTCAAATATCACGTGCATTTCTCTTGCCAAAAGACAGGCTATTCCTAATTGTTCTAACTAGTGCAAACGTGGAATGCCTGCAATTAACCACACCATCTAGCGAGTTTCAAAATCGTCCAATAAAAAACTCGGCCTTACAGCTAGGGTCACGCGCCTGTCAACGTGAGTTGATGTTTCCAACTCAA